CAAAAAAATGACCCTCCCAGGGGCACATCTTGGACGCTCCAACCCCTCGCCGCGCCCCACGTCCAGGTCCAGGGGGGGGCGGGGGGGGAGGGGTAAACCCTTCCCCGAAGGGGAAGAAGGAGGTTGGAAGAGGAAGCTCATTAGACCACCTACGTCCAGAGGGCTGGTGGTATTCATGTGTAGCATCATCGTCGTCGTTACCATCACCATCATCATCGCCGCCATCATCATCATCACCACCACCATCATCATCACCATCACCACCATCAACGTCACCACCATCACAATCACCAGCATCAACATCCTCATCACAATCACCAATCATCATCATCATCATCAGCAGCAGCATCATCAGCATCATCAGCATCATCATCATCAGCATCATCATCGGTCTGGGCCTCGTTGGCCCCGCGGCCTGCGGGCCCTCCGCATGCCTGGGCCGCGGGTCTCTCGGCCGGCAGGCCCGCGGGCCTGGCGGAACAGGAGGATTGTGGGCCAGGTCCCCTAGAGAGAGGGAGTGAGGGGGAAGGGGGGCAGTGCTCGTACATGCACCCCTCCGATCACCACCCTTGCCCCCGCCCCTCCATGGCCGGCCGAATCGGCCACGCCAGGGCGCGGCCGCGCCCATCCCGCGCCCGCCGGGCGGCGCGGATCGGGCCAAAGAGGAGGGAGAGGAGGGCAAGGAGGAGGAACAGGAGGCAAATCGGCAACCCGCTTCCAGGAAGTGAGGGTTTTGGCAAGGGGCCGTTGCGTCGCCGCGGCTGGACTCGGCTCGAATGCCGGGGGCTCGACCCCGAGGCCCGACGCCGCGGGGCCCCCGCCCGGGGATTGGCCCGCGGGGGCCAGACCTGGCATGCGGCATCCAGTTTGTTCCCCTGGTACCCTCGCGCCTCACCCCTCCACTTTCAGCCCTTCTCCCTCTCCCTTCTGGCGCTCTCCCACCTCGCCCCCTCTCCTTCCGACCTCCGCCCACGTGCGTCCTCGGCTTCTTTGGTTCATCGTGAGCACGTTCAGGGACTTCTCGGTGCCCTCCCCACATCCGCGGCGCCATACGTTGTGCGCGGCGCGGGGCCTCGGCCGGCATGCCTCCTTCGAACGCAGGGACGCTCGACAACTACAGCGACGTGCAGCCATCCATCGCGACATCGCACTCCCTGGCCACCTTGAAGGAGCGCGTGCACGAGAAGATGAAGACTCGCTTGGCCTTGGGCCCCCCGGCCCCCACTGACAAGCACCCCTACCCGCCGGCGGACTTGAAATGCAATTGCTGCAGGAGGGTCCTGCGCATGACGAGGAACCCCATCAAGAACTCCGAATGCCCTTTCTTGGAGATTAGTCGGCCCGGGTCACCAACGTGCAAGGTGTGCCGTAATGTAATAAATTGGGCGTACCGCGGCGTAAAGGACGTACCCAAGTTGCTCGAGACTGAGGTTGAGTTCATGAAGTTCACGCTCATTGTTTTCTTATGGGAAGAGCAGCACGCGTCAAATCCAGAGGGGAAGGTCAAGGCAATATATTTGGACGGCATCCCCCCGGAGTTGAAAGTCGTTGTCTTGCACGAGGTAGCCAAGTCCCTCGATTCGGTGGTGATCATCGGAGTGTTCTGGCCAGAGAAGATATGGAACGATACCCACCCCCAGCAGAAGATTCACAAGAAGGAGTTGACAACTCACACCCACGACGGCATCACTTACCGCGGCGTGGTAAAGAACAGCAGCTTCGGGAACCCAGATGGAACGTTCCTGCTACGCCAGACGTGTAGCAACAAAGCATCCAAGGTCACGGAGCACGCCAGTTCGGACACAGCAGTTCGCGGACTTGCGCAGATCAAGGATATCTTTAACGCTTTGATGGGTAGGCTCAGTGTTGTGACGACGCAGCTCGGAGGTGAGGCCAACGTCGCGGACGTCCAGGTCAGGATGAGGAGCAAGAAGGCCCTCGATGACAACCTCGACGATTTCTGGGACGAGAGCGACAACATGTTCGGCAGCAAGGGCGTCACGGCCAAGCGCGCCGCGGCGCCGTCTGAGGGCGAGGAGAAGGAAAGGCCGTCTTCAAAGAAACCGAAGGGCGGGGAGGGCAAGCGGCAGCACGAGCTCGACACGTCGGAGCAGGTCATCCTGAAGGCCACTCAATGGATTGCTTCGCTCGGGCAGGATGACATGGCTCTCGCAGTCACTGTCAAGAAGCATACTGCCGTCAGAGACGCCCTCAACGGCCGCTTGAAACAGAGCTGCTTGGATCTATACGCCGCCGATCTCCAGGAGGCCTCCAGCGTCGATGGCAACGGCAGGGGCATGGCAATATTGGAGAAACTTCGCAGTGCGCAGGCGCAGGTGGAGGCGTGTTCCGGCTGGGCCAGGGAGATCTCGGCGGCCAAGATGGACGTCCCGGAGTATTTCAAGCAGGCGTGCGTGGCGCAGGGAGCGGGCGTGACCATTGCTTTCGCGTGCACCGAGAAGGCTTGGAAGCAGATATGTGCTGACTTCTTCGAGGCGGAGAAGTTCGATGAATGGGCGCAGGCGCTCGTGGACGGCGCGAACATGATCCCGGCGGCTTTCAGGGGCCCGTTCCCCAGGAAGGAGGTCTTCCGCGAGCAGCGCATCCGGGAGACGATCACCAAGATGCTTCAGGGCGAGGGCCAGTTAACTATCTTGAGGCTCCTTCTCCTCCTGCTCCCTCTCATTCTCTTTCTATTCGTGTATCCTTCCATCCTCCCTCTCTTCCTACCCCTCCTCCACCCGCTCGCCCGCCCCCTCCCCCTCCTCCTCCGCCTCTCCCCCGTTCCTCCTCCTGTCCCTCCTCTGCCCTCCTTCTCCGCCCCCGTCCTCTCGGGTTTGGTTTTCTGTTTTCGAGAGGGCGTCGCGGCCCTTTTTTGTTGCTGGTCCAGGTCCGTCGGTTTCGGCCCCAGGTCGTTTTCACTAAGGGGAGGTTTACCCAAGGGAGGTTTGTCAACCGCCGATCCTCCTCCCCCTCCTCCCCGCCCCCTCCCCTCCTCCAGGAAAACGTGCAAGTCGTTGAGAGCCGCCGTCGCAGGCATGAGCTTAAACCCTTCGTTCCAGCAGCACCTCGTCGTGATAATCAACGCCGTGCTGATCGAGGAGTGCTCCGAGGATGACGTGGAGACCGTCTCCGCTGATCTCGCCAAGCTGACGTCAGGAGCGGGGGCATGGAGTTCGCCTTTTGGCAAAGCTCTCGAGCTGTTTCCGACGGGTCGAGATGTCCGGACGGCTGTCGCGGCGGAGTTGACGGCCGTCAAAGAGGTGGAGCAAGTCAGGGAGAGCTTGGACGCGACGCGTGAGATCACCGATCAGTGGCCGGATAATTTGAACCCTGAGGGCACCCCCCCTAAGTACGATGAGGAGACGTTCGACGAGTACGTTGCCGTCTGGGCAAAGTGGCAAGTGTTGGAGAGCCGCCTCACAGAGCGGGCAAAATCAAAATTCAGCGACATGGTTGATCTGCTGAGGGATAAAGTGGAGGTGCCGGGCATTCGATTGCAGACCATGCTGACGAACGGGTACAAGTCATCATTGAACATCGTGCTCAAGACGAGCAGCGATATGATCATTAATCTGACCAAAGCGCTCCAGGGCCACTTCCATCTGAAACCTACTGCCGCCCAGGTGAGTGAGCTGAAGGCAGCGCCGGGACAACGACGACGACGCCGACGACGACGACGACGACGACGACGACGACGGCGACGGCGGCGGCGACGGCGACGGCGACGACGACGACTACGACGACGACGACGATGAGGACGACGACGACGACTTTTCTGGAGTGGAGGCAACCGCAAAACAAAACAAGAAAAACTGAACGACGTAGATTTATTATGATTCTGATTCAGTGTATGATTTTTATTTATCGTCCCGTAAAATTAATTTTTTTGTTTTGCGGTTGCCTCCACTCCTTAGCTTTCGGGCCTCTCCCCCTCTCCTCGCGCGGCAGGGCCAGTTCGAGAAGCTGGTCCCCGTCGAGGCCGACGCCTCGGGGCTGACCAAGCTGGCGCGGAAGTCCGTGCGCGACCAGTACGAGTCAGATCTCCAGAACATGATCAAGACACATCATTGCTTGGAGGCCGGCATCGCTGCAGTACTGGACGACGAAAGCATCAAGTCAGATTGCGTGCGCGCGCTCTTGGACACCGTCAACACCAGGTTGATGTGCGGCTCGTCGGATCACCCTGGCGAGTTGAGAAGCGCTTTCACGCTCTTTGGGGGTACCTTCAAGGATTTGAGGGCGCCCGAACGCTGAAGCCTAGAGCTGCATCCCAAATCCTAATCCTACAGCCTTGTGCCCCCTGGCGCATGTCCCAGAGCCCCGTGTCCAAGCCAAGTGGCGACGTGCGATGTGGTTTGGGGGCCGGGAATGGGGCGCGGCATTGAAATGGGGCATGGGTTCAGGGGGAAAGGGTGCGAGGGTATGGGACAGATGGGCCATGGGGTTCGGCATATAGGTAGGCTATTAGGCTATAGGCTATAGGCTATAGGCTATTAGGCTATAAGCTATAGGCTATAGGCTATAGGCTATGCTATAGGCTATAGGCTATAGGCTATAGGCTATGCTATAGGCGATAGCTATAGCCTATAGCCTATAGCCTATAGCCCATAGCCTATAGCCTATAGCCTATAGCTTATAGCCTATAGCTATAGCCTAGCTGTAGGCGCTGGGAGGCTATAGGCTAGGCTATAGGGCGATATGCGATATAGGCTACAGGCTATATAGGCTATAGGCTAGGCTATAGGCTATAGGCGATAGGCTACTATAGGCTAGAGGCTAGAGGCTAGTAGTTAATAGGCTTAGAGAGCTATAGGAGGCGATAGGCTGGATAGCAGAGGCTAGGCTGCCTAGGCGGCTGGATGGGCTTAGCGGCTAAGCGGCTAAGGGCAAGATCTGGATGTGGGATCTGGTGCCCTGGGCTACTAGCTACTGGCTACTGGCTGGGCAATGGGCTACAGAGCGAAGGGCCGCAGCATAGCCGATCGTCCCCCTCGCAGGGATTCCTGACCGTAAAGTTGAGCAAGGTCCTGTTCGCGCGTGGCGGCGTGCTGGACACGTTCGGTTCGGCGGCGGCGAAGGTCGAAGCATCGGTGTCCAACGATATGGCCGAGGCGCTCATCTTAACCGCAGACAGCCTCCAGGGCGCAGTCCCCGCCAAGGAGGTCCAAGAGTATTCCTCCCTGGCAGTTACTAAATTTCTGTCGCATCGAGTTCCTTTGGCGAAGACCGTGAAGCTCGCTATCCAGGACAGTGACGGCGACACAGTGGAATACAATGTTTCTTGCGTTGCGCTTTTATGGGCCCCTTTCTTCGCCGACGCGCAGAAGAGCCTCGCCACCTTCAACGAGTTCGCGTCGAAGATCGTTCCCGTCGAAGGGTTGACCAGCGAGAACAGAGAGTCGGCGGTCACATCCATAGCGGACCTCTTGACAGAGTGCAAGAAGGTCTCGGACAGCCGCCGAACGGTTGACAACTTCAAGAAGCAGGTCGACGAGGCCAAGGCAGCCGGCGCGGAGATGCAGCAGATGCAGGGCGTGGACACAGTCTACTTTGCCATTGACGTCATGTGCGACCGGGCGACCAACGCCTTGAGTGAGGCGGCGAATCAGCTGTTCAACAAGATGAAGGCCACCGTCTCAGAGCTTCTCGAGAAGATCGGCGACCTTGAGAAGTACTTGGCCCGGCTCGACGACTCGAGCACGACCGTCGCCAAGTCGGACCGCGAGGAGCTGTACAAGTTTGTGTGCACGCAAGATACGAGAGCCCTGTACCAAGAGTTCAGGTGGGTGAGCGACAACACTGCAGAACTTCGCAAGATGCTGGCGGAGTTCAACAACGGCGAGCCCATGATCAACTTCGAGACGGACGAGGTGTTCCAGCGCGCGGGGAAGCTTGCGGCCAGCAGCACAATGATGCAGTCCTTCTGGAGGCCCTTGAAACCAGAGGAAAGCCGAACCACCTTGGTCAGGCGGTGCGTGCGGGCTCTGAATCCAGATGTCCGCGGGGTCCTGATGAAGCCTCACGCGTGCGTGCAGCAGGCGTGCTCCAATTTGTCGGCCGTCACCGACGACGCAGATGACAAACCTGCGGAGGACAGACCTGCGGAGCAGGTCGAGCCCGCCGCCGAGGAGGTCGTTGTGGTCGATGCTGAGGCGGCGACCAGGCGCCGCAGCAGCCAGGGCAGCCAGGGCGGCGGCGCCCCCAAGCGGCCCAAGGCCCGCAAGTGATCAGGGTAGGGGCGCTGCGTCTCCAGCGTCCGGGGTGCCAGTGCGAGTGCACGTATGTTGTTCCTCACCTCTTCCGCCTCCTCAGCCACCTCCCCCTCTTCCTCCCCCCATCCCTCCTCCTTATGTTCCTCTTCCTCTGCCTCCTCCTCCTCCTCCTCCTCCACCTCCTCCTCCTCTCCTGTTCCTCCTCCTCCTCTTCCTCCTCGTCCTCCTCGTCCTCCTCGTCCTCCTCGTCCTCATCCTCACCCTCCTTCTCCTTTGCCTCCCCCCAGCCCCCGGCGGCCCAGCGAGCGCCCGCGCTAACCTCTTCGCCTTGCAGCCCCGGCCACACTCCCGAAAGGGGGGGGCAGGGAGGGCGGGGGGAACGAGAAGAGGGGGGGCAGAAGAGAGAGGCGGAGAGGGAACGAGAGAGAGAGAGAGAGAGAGAGAAGAGAGAGAGAGAGAGACGAGAGAGAGAGAGAGAGAGAGAGATGAGAGAGAGAGAGAGAGAGAGAGAGAGAGAGAAGAGAGAGAGAGAGAGAGAGAGAAAAAAAAAGAAATAAATAGAGAGAAAGAGAGAGAGAGAGAGAGAGAGAGAGAGAGAAAAAAAAGAGAGATAGAGAGAGAGAGAGAGAGAGAGAGAGAAGGAGAGAGCAGGCAATGCGACTCACCGGCATCGAAGTACGAATTCGATTTAGGATTTCAGCGCACGTGGTGATTCACGGCGAAGCGGTGCTGTGGCGCGGCGCCCTGAATGGGGCATGGCATGGCCTTCAGCTCGTTGCTCCCTCCTCCTTCGCTCCCCCTCCTCCTCCTCCTCCTCCTCCTCCTCCTGCTCCTCCTCCCCCTCCTCCTCCTCATCCGCCTCCCTCCTCTTCCTCCTCCTTCCGCTTCACCTCCTCCGTCCGTGGCCCATTGTCCGACGCCCGTCAGCATTGCCGACGCAATATGCGAATGTGCGCATATGCGGCGATGTCCCATTTCCTCGCGCAACCGATGGTCAGAAAAAAGAGGACGCCTCGAACTCCGTGGATCGGTTTGAGGTCTTCTGTCCTTCGGGGGCCCTCCTCGTCGCCACGGCTGGACGCGGCTCGAAATGCTGGCGCGCTTGCGCCCCAGGAGGGGTCCGGGGGCCGATTTTAAAAGGGAGTCCGTCGACTTTGAGGGGGGGGGCGAGGAAGGGGAGATGTATGGGATGCGGCATGCGGATGCAAGGGATGGTATGGGATACGATGATATGATGGGCCATGGGCCATGGGATGGAAGGGATGCGGAAGACGGCGGAGAAGAGCGAGGAAGACGATGCCAAGGAGGGTGGAGCGCGCGACCCCCGGGGGCGCAAGCCCGGCGACACCTGGAACGGCAGCGCTCCCGCCCGGGGGCCCTGGTGACCCGGCAAGGGGCACGTGCTCTGTCTCGATTGCCAGGGCTGGCCGGCCGGCCGCGTCGGCGTCGTCGTCGTCGTCGTCGCCGCCGCCGCCGCCGCCGCCGACGCCGCTGCCGTCATCGTCGTCGTCGTCGTCGTCTTCGTCTTCGTCGTCGTCGTCGTGTTGGTCGTCGTCGTGTTCGTCGTCGTCGTCGTCGTTTTCGTCGTCGTCGTTGTCCTCCTCCTCCTACAACATATAATTTAATAAATTATATATTATATGATGTGAGTATAATATTAACCGTGTGGCACACTGCAAAGACCGCAAATAATACATAATAAAACGCGCCGTCGTCGTAGTCGTCATCGCCACCGTCGCCGTCGTCGTCGTCGTCGTCGTCCTGGTTCACGTAGCCGTCGCCGTCGCCGTCGCCGTCGCCGTCGCCGTCGCCGTCGCCGTCTCGTCGTCGTCGTCGTCGTCGTCGTCGTCGTCGTCGTCGAAAGCTCGGGTTGATGTCGCATATGCGCGTCGCAAATGGCCTTCGGCGGGGCCCGTGCGAAGCGGGGGAGGTGGTCGACATCGGGGGCGGGGGGTCGCGGCGGTGCCGACGTGATGTCAGGGGGGGGCTTGGGGCGACGTCGGGGAGGGCCCGCGGCGGGGCCCGCGCGATGTCAGGGAGAGGGGAGGGGGGGCCCGGGTGATGTCGGAGTGACGTCGGGGGGGGCGTCGGGGGAGCCTCGGGGGGGCGTCGGGGGGGGTGTCGGGGGAGTGTCGGGGGAGTGTCGAGGGGGGGTCGGGGGGAGTGTCGGGGGAGTGTCGGGGGAGTGTCGGGGGGAGTGTCGGGGGAGTGTCGGTGGGAGTGTCGGGGGGGGGTCGTGGTGTTAGTATTATAATACCCAAAGCGCTCTTGAAAAACTTGTTTAAAGCGCCCCCCAGTCTTAGCGCCCACAAGATGTGCACCCCTTGCTAGGGGGGCAGCTGTCTCCGACCCCTGGCTAGGGGAATGTATTTTGTCTCCTCCTCGACCGCCCCTATGGTCTGCAGCCACTCTGGCTCAAACGCGAGCGGCAGCAGTGGGCATTTCAACGTGAAGGGTAAGCAGCCGCGCTACCGCGCATGCCAGCTTAGCGATGAGGCCATGGTCGACTTGGTCAAGCGGCGCGTATCATTGATCGAGAAGAACTACATCAATGGCACAACGGAGCAGATCCTCAAGGACAACATGCCGTTCTTGTTGGGCGCGTGCCAGGTGTCGCAGCGTTTGAGCACCACCACGCTCGCGAGGGCCATCGTTTTGCAGAAGACGCGCCTCGCCGCCGAGGAGGCGAAGCGCTGGGCCACTGAGATGAGCAGGCGCGTCAGCTACGTTGCGAATAAGCGCAGGAACGCCGTGGCCGCGGAGAAGCTGGACCACTGCACGAGGACCCTCGGAGACGCGATGAAACTGGAGTGCGGTCGAACTCTTCCGGTAAAGAGAAGGAGACGGCGCAGACAGAGGCTCTCGAAAGCACCTCGGAGGATGAGAGCGCGCGCGGCTCGGCCCCAGCCGCGAGTGCGCCGCGCAGCCCCGACCCCAGGTACAAGTTGATCAAAGATCAATATGGAATCTCTCCACCGCACAAGCCAGCCGCCAAGAAGGGCGAAGTGCTCAGCCCGCTTGTCGTGTTGTCAAGTCAGGAGGTGGTGGACTCACCTGCAAGCGCGCGCCCTTCAGCTGCACCAGCCGCTTCTTCAGCTGCACCAGCCGCTTCCAGTTATTCGAGGAGGGTTGGGCTGCCTCCTTCCTCCTCCCCTTCCTCCTTTTGCTGATGCTTCTCCTGCTCCTTCTACCATCGTCGTCGCCATCGCCATCGTCATATGCATCATCATTTTCTTCATCCAACCCTCCTCTATCCTTAATCAAAGGTGACGCGGTGCGATTGGAACGACGACCCGCCGTCCATGGTTACTGTTGATGAGTCGGGCAAGGAGACGCGCGTGCCGCTGTCTGCGGGCGATTCGGGCTTCTTGGTGGCATGCGCACCTGACGGGGAGAAGATCGACACCGACCAGTCCAACGCCTTGCTCAAGGCTCATTCCGAGGGACGGAAGAAGCGGGCGGCTCAGGGAAAGGAGGCACAGACGAAGCCTATGAAAGCAGCAATGAAGAGAACATGTATGAAAGGAACAAAGAAACGCCCTGCTGCGCCAATGGAATGCCCTGCCAAGAAGCGCCCTGCCTGTGCGAAGGCTGCCAAAGACGATGACGACGAAGAGTATGCCATGGAAGGGGAGGAGGAGGAGGAGGAGGAGGAGGAGGAGGAGGTGGCGGGAGGCGATAGCCAAGAGGGCAACGAGGCAAAGGCAGAGGAGGCAGCCGACGAATCAGCTGGAGGCGCTGTCCTTGGGCGCGATTACCATCTCGACTGGTGCACGAGGGATTACAGGGTGGGGATCAAGCTGAAGCACGGCAAGAAGAATCAGCTATGCTCTTTCGGTGGAGCACCCGCGAGGGTCATCGTGACGAAGAAGGAGTTGATGGACATCGGCAATAAGGTGTGCGAGCAGCTCAATGAGGGCAAGATTGCCGAGGCGCGCGCCGCCGCGCGGGGGGCTGCGGACGCACTGATGCAGAAACTGACTGATGGTAGGAGCTGATCAATATAATTATCCCGGCAAAGCAACGTAACAGCGATGTGTAGGAGCATATATGGTAGCATTCCCCTTAAGATTCAGATGAGAATCCAGTTGTAGAATTCTGTTGTTCTCGCAGTCGTAGTCGCATTCGCGATGACAGTCGCAGCGGCAACGGCAGCCGCAGTCACAGCCTCAGCCTCAGCCTGCCTCAGCCTCATCCTCAGCCTGCCTCAGCCTCAGCCTGCCTCAGCCTCAGCCTCGGCCTGCTTCTGCCTCAGCCTCAGTCTGCCTTCAGCCTCGGCCTCATCCTCAGCCTGCCTCAGCCTCAGCCTGCATCAGCCTCAGCCTCAGCCTCAGCCTGCCTCAGCATCAGCCTGCCTCAGCCTCAGCCTCAGCCTGCCTCAGCCTCAGCCTCAGTCTGCTTCAGCCTCAGCCGCAGTCTGCCTTCAGCCTCGGCCTCAGCCTCAGCCTGCCTCAGCCTCAGCCTGCATCAGCCTCAGCCTCAGCCTCAGCCTGCCTCAGCATTCAAAATGTGGACCAGGAGTGGAGTTCTGGGAACTTGAAGAGCACGAAGTGGCCTACAGTTGGCTCCAGGCATCCAAAATGTGGCCCGGGAATGGAGTTCTGGGAAATCGAAGAGCACGAAATGGCCTACAGTTGGCTCCGGGCTTTCAAAATGTGGCCCGGGAATGGAGTTCTGGGAACTCGAAGAGCACGACGTGGCCTACAGTGGGCTCCGGGCATTCAAAATGTGGCCCGGGAATGGAGTTCTGGGGACTCGAAGAGCACGACGTGGGCCTACAGTTGGCTCCCGGGCATCCAAAAATGCGGCCCGGAATGGAGTTCTGGGAGGTCGAAGAGCTCGAAGTGTGTGACTGTTGGCGAAAAGCGAGCCCGGCTCTGTTCCCGGTTCTCCAGAATGTGTCCCGGGAATGGAGTTCTGGGAGGTCGAAGAGCACGAATGTTGTAACGATTTCAATCCACATTCCCGTTCTCCTCCCCGGCACCGCCCATTAGAACCCCCCTGTGGAGTCCAGA